CTGTCTCTCTCTGTCTCTCTCTCTTTCTCTCTGTCTCTCTCTCTGTCTCTGTCTGTCTCTCTGTCTGTCTCTGTCTGTCTGTCTCTCTCTCTCTGTCTGTCTCTTTCTCTGTCTCTCTCTGTCTCTCTCTCTCTCTGTCTCTCTCTCTCTCTGTCTCTCTCTCTCTCTCCCTGTCTGTGTGTGTGTGTGTGTGTGTGTGTCTTCCTGTCTGTCTGTGTCTCTCTTTCCCAGTAACAAACAGCTCAGACAGCTGAAGAGCTCCCTAAACTTACTCAGGCTGACATGACCACTAGGTCTTCATTTGCTTGTTACACACAGCTGCCTGGGCCCCTAGAGATGAAAGAAGAAATGAGCTCTACTGTGTCTATGCTGAGGGATGGCCTACCGTTTGCACCACCTGGAAAGGTTAAGGTGCTGTAACAAAGAAGGCCTGGGTCACGTGCTTACAACAAAGTCCCTCTCAAGCTGTACATCAGAAAGGTAGTCAGCTGTCTGTCTTTTTTCTGAGCACAATCCTTCAGAGACCCCTTCTTATCTTTCTCTTTTTTTTCCTTCATTGCCATGTAGAGAATTTTCTAGCATTAAAGATTTGAGCACCTTCTGCATTCCACATATGCTCATCCTTAGAAATCATGATCTGGTGGGAAGTCCAAGAGATTAAATGAGTACAATTCAGAGAAGAAAACTGGATACAACTGCAAGATCTGTAGATCTTAAGTAGGGGGATACTCTCAATCCAGAATTAACAGGGGACTCTTTAGGGAGGATGCATGGCTATGTAAGATGGGATTGGAAGGATGGACTCTTGGGAGGCACAAGAAGAAGCTGTGCCAGTGAAGAGTGCTATGAACATGGGTGGGGCTTAGAGATGCAGGAAGCACAGAGAGCAAATTGGGGGAGGGTAATACAGGCCACCAGGCAGGCTGGCTCCCCTGGAGGTTACTGTGCTACCAGGGAGGACTTGGATGCCAAGGTAAGGCCTATTTTTTTTTTTTTGGTTTTTACCAGACAGGGTTTCTCTGTATTGTTTTGGAGGCTATCGGCCCAGCACGGCCTCGAACTCACAGAGATCCGCCTGCCTCTGCCTCCCGAGTGCTGGGATTAAAGGCGTGCACCACCACCGCCCGGCAGGCCTATTCTTAATTTATGAGCCTGGGCCATGACAGTCATTTAGGATTCCATTTAGGGAGTGAAAGTCAGAGCCGGGGGTGGGATGGGGTTACTAAAGTGGACTGAATGGAAATATTTACAATGGAAAGTGAAGGGAATCCACAATTCAAGAAGGAGAAAGCAGGCTGGAGTCTGATGAGGGATGCCACTTGGGTTTTGGCTAATCCCAGATGCAGTTGAGGTGACAATCAAATATAGCCATTATAGGGAGTACACTCTTCTTAGAATTACCATACAGAACTCTTTTTCTCTGATATTCCAGTGATTAGAAGATGGAAGAGGAGGAGGAGGCTGGGAGAGAAGAAGATAGCAGGTCAAAGGAAAGTGAGGGCAGGGAGAAGAGGGGAAAGAGAAAAGATGGAAAGGGAAATGTTTCCCTTTCTGAAAAACGTTGGTTAGCTATGAGCCCGGCACACCCTAGAATCAGTCGCTTGAAAGAGTCTCAGTGAAGGATTGCCTAGGTCAGGGTGGCCTTTCGACAAATCTATGAAGACTTGCCTTGAATGCTTTCCCTGAAGAGAGAAGACCCAGGCCACAGTGGGCAGGGCCATTCCCTGACTTGATGTGGGAGGACCCAGGCCACAGTGGACAACACTATTCCCTGACTTCGGGCCCTGCACTGCCTGAGAGCAGAGAAAGCTTGTGAGCACCAAGCATGCATCCATTCCCCTGCTCTCAATGCGGATGTGACCTGAGGGCGGCTTCAAGTTCCCAACACCATGACTCCTCTGTGATGATGGACTGGAGCCTGGAATTGTCAGCTTAAACACTCTTTCCTCTAAGTTCCTCTTTGTCAAGTTATTTTTCACAGCAATGAAAATTAAACTGAACCTTTAGGAGAGGAGAAGTTTTGATGTTTAAGAGGGGGAAAAATGTAAATTTTAAAATGATAAATGCTTCCCGGGAGTTTAAATACCTAGAGGCAAGGACAATAGCCTTCAAGTGACACTGTCCTCACCGGATTCTTCAGTTCCACAGTCTCCACTAAGCCAGGAATAAATGAAGATAGCTTTGGGCATCCGAGAAGGATGCCCTGGGGAACAAGGAGCTCCCTGAATGTGCTGACCAGGCCTATGTGTGAAGGCAGAATCTCTGTGTGTACAGAAAAAAGCCCACTGTTTAATAATATACAATAATCTGGAATCTGAACTGATTTTTGGTGCTGCATGGCATGAAGCCCCCGGTACAGTGCAAGGCATGCATGTCTCGTGTTCAGGACCGAGGCCGCAGTGAGGTTACACCATGCCACACAGGCAAGCCCTGCCGGAAACACCTCTGGTTCATTATACATTTGATTTTGAATTAAGTTTTGGTTATCTGTGTTATAGGACTGTGAAGGAGAAGGGGGGGAGAGAAGGAAGGGGAAAGGGGTGGTTATTGTAAGCCACACACAAGGAAGGACAGCATATGTGCAGCTCCCATGTCAGGTCTTGGTACATCCACAAGTAAGTCTTGAGAGAACAAAGTGTATCTGTGGCTGAATCTAAAAGCTGTGCGGAATTTTTACCGGCACAGGTTTGAGACTGGCATAAACAAAGACAGAGGATGCAAAAGGCTGCAGCTCCCTTGAGCAACCCCAAACAGGGCTGAAGAGTCATCCGTTGGTAGAGTGCTTGCCGGCCACATACAAAACTCTGGGTATGGTCCCCAGCACTTCACGAGCCTCCTCATAACACAGGCCTGCAATCCCATCCCAGGGGACATGGAAGCAGGAGCACCAGGAGTTTAAGGTCATCCTTCAGCTACATAACAGGACTGGGACCAGCCCAGGGTACAATAGGACCTCCAAAACTAAATAAGTAGACAAATATTTGAGTGATTATTTACAGCTGCTTTAGATGCCATCAGCTCTTAGGATTTAAGAACACATGGGAGGGATTCTTTACATTGTAAATTACCTGGCATGGCTACCTGATACTCAGACTAGGGAAGTATGGCATAGACAGAACTTTATCAGCATTCCAAGTGGTTCTGGGGAAAATGGTCTAAGATCCATATGAGAAACTATGATGCTTAGAGAAAAATCAATGACAGACAAGGTAGGAAGGTGGGATGGAACCAGATTTCAGATAACCTTGACAGCCGGCTAAGAAGGTCGGTGGTCTTCATTCTGTCAGCAGTAGAAACTCATAACTGTGTAAGATTGTTATATTCTACTTGATTTTTTAAAAATTATTCCAAGCTCTTCTAATAGCATGAGGTTTTAAGGAATCCACAAGCTTGCTGGAGTTCATTATAGAAACAGTGAATAGTCCACCAAAGAAGCCCATAATAGTGTGTCTGGGAGATCACAAGCTGAGTTGGGATGACTGCTGACATCCCTGTTCGAGGAATGGTACACATCGCCAGGGGCTGTACAGTCGTGAGGTGAGAGTCAGAAACAGAGAACTTTAAACAACTTTTGCCTTTTTGGTTTTCTCCTAGACATTCAGAAATCACGAGCAGTGTTATTCTACCAGAAAAATATGAGCACAGAGATGGAGTAGGCAAATTTGTGCATCAGACAATTCCAGAAGTTCTTTTAATCTACATTAGTCCATGCAGTGGAACAGATCTAAAATCTTATGTTCATGGGACCCCTTAACTCTCTTACAAATTATCTATGACCATATGGGTAGTTTTAAATAAGAATCATTTCTATATTTCCACATATACTTATAGAACTAAAATGAAAACTAAGAATTTCTGACTTTTTTCATTTAAATTAACAATAACAAAGCATTACATTTTAGCAGTCTTTTTTAAAAAATATATTTTCTTACACTACACACATTTTTTCCAGTGAGAAAAATAGAACTGCTTTTGCAGTTTAGTGAATTACTTTATCTTCCAACTTCATAAAAAGCAACTTCAGTCTTTGCTATCACGAATCTAGAAAGTTCTTGAATTCACCCATGAAAAACTGAGTGACGAGCCAGTCACTGTATGCTTTTATTATGAAGATAGCTTGGGACTTTTCAGAGCCCCTGGGGTCTCTCTAGAACAACTGTTTTAGACTCCTTTTATCTCACTGCAATTCTTAAGAAGCACTGGGTAGGGCCGTGTGAACGTATGAAACATCACTTGTACAGATCTAGAATGACAAGGAAAATGTTCCAGAAGTTGCCTAGTTCTAACCTTGTTCAGAACAGGAGACAAAAATCAAAACTAGATTAAACAGCAACTGTAGGTAGTTAAAGATGAGTGAGGAAAAATGATAAAATACCTAATTTCTGTTCTCCCTAAGATTTTCTGCAGAGGAATCCATAGCACAGTGCACCAAAAAGATTCTTTGTCAATGATTAGAGAAGGGTCTATGTGTGCTACTTTGAACCATACTAGGAAGACAACTGCAGAGAGATTTTTAAAGCAGTTTACAAATATTTGGTATATGAATCTCTGCAATAGACACACATTTGTTTATAAATAAAAAGATTATCTACATGTATTTAAATGGTATGAGAATTTATTTGTTTACAAATGAAAATATCTTCCTAAGATTTTAACTATGTCTAAAAAGTGTCCAACTTTTTAAAAACCTTAGCAGTCTAAGTAATACAAATACAGTACCAACTGGACAATATGAACCTTTACATACAACACACTATTTTCAAAGCCAAACCCTAATTTAAGGCATGGAAAACACCGCTGCTATTCATGAAGCAGGTAATAGCTGCATTGTTTCCATAACAAACATTTCAGAGTGTTGTTTCCTAATGGAAACTCATTGTTACTGAATAAAAATCCTTAGAGAGGGAAAAAGTACCTTCATATATAATCTGCATTGGGGATGCAAATTCGAGAGAAACATACACCAAAGGATTTGCATTTAATCAAATCTGAAGCAAGTCATGTCAGAAGCATCACTCCGTGTGCAGAAGGCTCCACATCAGGACCACAGATCAGGACCCCTCTCTAAGGACATTTATCGGAGGCCTGGCACTGCAGCACCATCAAGGATGGACAGCGGTGAGTTGAAAATTACAATAAAAACAATCTTTAGAAATCCTGATTCTTAGTGCTGACTACAATCTTTACCTCATCAAACATACAATGCAATAGCTCTGTCTTTGGCTAGAGCACATACAAATATAAGAACAAAGGCAGAAGCCAGCTGTCGGTAATATTTTTATAACTCTAGTCACAATGTATTGCTCTTAGATTTGATTTGCTGCATTGAGTTTAAAGAGGCATTCATTTGGAGCAGGAAATCTACTCAAATGAACAGAATTCCCATAAAATGGTCTGAATATTAAGACATGTTTTTCCAGTGTAGTGGGACTTGATTTGAATGTAGAGCTTTCTGGGAAGCCCTTGTATAAAAGAACAGAAAAACCCACATGTGTACAGAGCTTGAAACATCTCTTGGCACCAGACTTCAGGCTCTTTTGGTTAACGAGCAAGGTTATTCTCTTGATGTATGACAAGCAAGAGGTCTGAGTGTCATTCCACAACTCAGACTACATACATATAGGTCTTTCCTAGTCTGTTCATTCTGAAGTGGCATGTGTCAGTATTGACACGGAATAGACCCCAGCAATCAGGACACGTCAGTAATCCTCATAAATGTTAACAAACGACAGAAGAAATACTTCAAAATTCTTTATGAGGTACTTTGAACAGTAATGTGTTACATTTTAAGTGATGGATCTCTTTAAAGTCTGATCCCAAAATGTAGGAAGCTGGATGGAACCGGCAGAGCACCTGCCTGGTGCAGCATGGCCTTGGTTCCTGGTGAGAAAACTTGGGGCTCCCCCTGTGGGAACTAACAGGCAAGAGGCAGGAGACCAGAGAGGTTGTGGGTAACCACGGTATGATGAAATGACTTCAAAGCAACCGTAAAATAAGCTCAGTAATTGCACTGTTCCTGCTTAAAATGCTCCATCTTTTTTTTTTTTGAGTTTATGATGTCCTGAGCAACGGGCATCATTTTGTTATTATTAATGAAAACCTTTCTGGGCTTGATGAGCTTGGAAACTGCTCGCCTCTGGTGGTTCCCTGGACCCTCATCTTCCCAGATCAGAAGCAAAGCCACACACACAGTGTGCCTCTAACAGGTGTGTGCAGCAAGCAGCACTGGGGATTCTGAGAGGGTAACTCCCTTTTCTCCCCCCCAACCCCCTGTGAGGCGGCCAGAGCCAGGAGAATGGGATGAGGAAGTGGGGAGGGACGGGGGCTGAGAGCTAGCACACAGACGGAGCACACTGTATCACAGCTGCTCTGTCTGAGACCCCATTCTTGTCTCTCTGACCGAATCTGGAACAAGAACACAGGCTCTCCATCAACGTCCCTGCCCCCCTTCAGTATTTCTACTCTGACTGTTCTGAGTGACAGGGGGCCCACACAGTGTCACGAGGGAATGTAATTCAGACACATGTGCCTACTGATTTCATTGTGCTCTTGTCCAGTTTCACCACTCAAAATGTAACTTCTTTTCTGAAGTTGTTCTGCTTTTTCTTTGCTTCTTTCATTCCCTTTCTTTATGCCACAAGTCCCCTCCTTAGCCTCTGCAAAGAATGCAAAGTCAAGAAAATATACCTCAAAAAGTCATTAAAATAAGGATGTGTTTCAAATACCATGTGCGTATTTAGCATAACTAAAAATGCTTTGGGGGAAGGTCACCAGCACTCTAAGTAATAAATCAATTTTAGAATACATGAGCTTGATATGATGGAAAAAGCAATTTTCAAAAACAAATGAAAACAACGGCATCATTAAGTCTATGGTGGATCAAATTCTCCAAAGAAAAGAGGACTAGAAGACAGTGTGACAGACATATTTGGCTACATATACATAATCATAGCCCAGCAGTGCCAACTCCTTTGCCGATTCTAAAGGATAAATTGATTCCTACTGATGAATTTGCGTGTGCTTGTGCTCTGGGAACACTCATGTCTGTTTTCTCAACAACCGATGTGAAAGGGAGTTTGTATCTGGAGCATTTGAATAAAAATTCTCCAGCCCTCCTTGCTGATGCAGGTGTGGACTCTTTAGATAGACACAGTGTACGGACAGAGTCAAATGTCTAGGAGTGGAAACTCCAGGAACATTTGTGAGCCCTAAATACCACTCTGTCTGAAACCAGGAATAAAGACTCTTCCAAAGGAAGAAAACTATTCGAGGTGGGATTTCAAAGAATTTATGCTAATTCCGTTGATTTGCTATAATTTATTTTCCTGCACGCACCCGGGTTGTTGTCAAAGTAGGTTTTAACAATTCCTGCACTGCTGCTGCAGAGCTCATTTACGCAGCTACTTTCATTTACTTACCTCCCTTGCTCCTGTGACACCCAAAACTAAAGGCTTCACTGCCACAACCTGTGAAATGGCACCCAAGTTCTAAGAACCTTTCCAATCCCACTGACTCAGCTATTGAAATAGATAGATAGATATCATCTATAGATACATGATATAGAGATCTAGATATCTTAATAACTTGTAAGAGTCAACATATGTGTGTGTATACACACACACACACATAGTACACATTTATTAAGCACCTACTGGGTACCAGGTACTTGAAATTGCTGGCTATCCTTTTTCCTCTGGGTCCCCTCCTCCCTTTACCTCCCTGGTGCTTCTATCCTGTCCAACACTGCTGTTCCGCCTTTCTGGACTCTTTCCACAGTGGTCCTCACATGGACCCTTTCTTGCCCTAAGCTTCTGTGACTAAATATCCTCTTTCCTCTTGTTGTAAATTGTTCTATGAAGAGCGTTATTTTCATAGCTCTAATTATAATAATTTTAAAGATACAAAGTGTCAACCCAGGTCTAAATTCTTGTTTTATCTATGGGACACTTTTACTTTTTTATTTGATTATATTCCCACAACCCCAAAGTCAACATATTCAAAATGTCCTTTCCCTATCCAAATTTTCATAGTTCACTATTTGTTTTGTGTATGTTTGGGTGTGTGTGTGTGTGTGTGTGTGTGTGTGTGTGTGTGTGTGTGCGTGTGCATGTATCTGTGTCACTTTGAAAGGTCTCATAAATCTGTCATTTCTGCTGTTTCATGCTAGTTTCCATTTTATAATTTCCTACCCCTTCTGTATCTTCATCCTAAACCTGTTGCAGAATTTATTCTCACATTAATCTTTCAAATCTTCCGAAACTAAGGGCATAATTCTCTGTTAAATATTTTAGTGGCCAGCCAATTTCCAAATGCCTAGAGGACAGTTATCTAACAACATTATGTCACCTATTTGACATCATAGCCACCTTAACTTGCAAAAGTACACTCTGATGCTTGCACAAGGGTTGAAAGTATCTAACAACTCATTTTCACAGAATGTTACCATCACTAAACAATGCACAATGACATATTCATATATATACATATTTCTTTTTATGTATTTTAATTTTTTAATTACATTTATTTGTGTACATGCATGGGTACACTGAGGGGGACATGACACAGTGTTCCATTCATCTGAAGGTAGAAGACAACTTGTGTCAATGCTCTTCTACTATGTGGGACCTGGGGATTGAACTTGGTTTGTTAGACTTGGTGGCAAGCACATTTCTGCACTGAGCCATATCACCAGCCCAGGAAAATAAATTCCTATAGACAGCTACTTGATTTCTTCAACATTTTCATTACTGTTAACATCAATGATGAAAAAAAAACCTTTCAACAGATGCTTACATAGAAACCTAGTGTGTGCCAGACACAGGTATCATAGTATAGTAGTGAGACACCCTCTTCTCGGAAGAAACAGAAAACAAATAAAACTTCTAAATAGGAAACTCTATGGGACTTTATAAAATGGTGGGTGCTAAACAGAAATCAAAGTACGGGAGAAGAATCGCGGCTGTGTTATAGGGTTGGTGCAACATTTAAAATGCTCTCATGGAGATGGCCGTACACATGGAGGAAGACAGGACAGTCAGTCACAGGGGTAAGGGATAAAGGACAGAGGAAGCAGGGTGGTCCGTCACAGGGGAAAGGGATAAAGGACAGAAGAACATTCCAGCTCAGAGGCAGCAGTATCCTCAGACAATGGTATTCTCGGTCCATTTTAGAGCCACACCAGAGTGCAGAGAGGGAGAGTCTTAGGAAAAGAGCACAGAGGACAGGGGGCATGGTCATCTGAGACTGCTGTCAAGGCTTTGGTTTTTACTAAGTGAAATGAGGAAGTGCTGCAGGGCTCTGAGCACAACAATGATGCAGCTGGAGTTTTAAAGCCCTGCACCCTCCCCCCCAGATCCTGGCACTGGCACTGTGGCCCTCACTGCTGTGAGGATAGACTAGGAAGGACAGGGATGAAAGATGGAAACAGAAACTCATTAAAGCAGTGGTTCTCAACCTCCCTAATGCCGCTACCCTTTAATACAGCTGCTCATGTTGTGGTGAAGCAAGGTTAGAGCTGCCTCTCCAACATGTAGACATCCCACCACACACAGGAACGTCATAAACCTCTTCCTGATGTGTTTGGTTAAGATTTTGGCATTTCTGGGGAAGTCAGAGTCACCTAGAGAGCTAGACCACATCCCTAGAGTCTCTGACTCAGTACTCTAGAGTAGGGTCTGGGAACCTGCAGCTCTCACAAGCCCCTAGCAGCTGGCGCTGAAGGTCCAGGTGAGAAGCACATTTGTACATTCACAACAGAAAACCCAAGCAAACATCCCTTAATGCTGAATTTCTCTGTGGTCATTATCCAATCCCTCGTTATTCTTTCTCTCCAAACTCCAAGAATGATTAGGCCTCCTCCCTGTCTCCATCCCTCTCCTGACACCCTCATTTGACAGAGTCTCTTTTGTTAAGGAAAACACTAGTCATTGAGCTGAAAACAAAGGATGCTCTCCTGTCCTCATCTTCTTTCTACCACATCAGAGTTTTTCTTTCTTCCTTGAAATGTCTCCCCCTAAGTGCTGGATGCCATGGTCCCCCCCAATTCACTTTGGTTCTTCTCCTATTGGTCTTCTGCATCTTCAATGTAAAGTCTTCCCTCTCTCCCCTAAAGTTTCTTCAAATGTGAATGCAACCTGGCTTCTGTCAATTCATTCTCTGCTCCCGAACATCTACCCAGTGTGTCAGGATATAGTGATATACAATGTAGTTTCATTCATACATAAAAAAGATGAAATTATGTTATTTGCAGTAAAATGAATACAAATGGAGAACATAGTATTAAGAAAAGCAAGACAGGCTCAGAAAGACAAATTTTTGTTTCTCTCATTTGTGTATTCTAGATAATTACATAATAGATAAATATCTTTATTAAATTTATTAATATATAATGAAAACATGCCAATAATTGCATACCACACACACGATATCATAGGAATTTCAATAGAATTGTCTCAGCCCTTTAGAGTATACTGACCTGTTTATCCCAGATGCAGATTATGACTACCTACATGGGTCATCAAGTGATCCTGTAAAACATTCCCTTGAGGGATTTCTTCCCTTTCCTGGTTTGTCATGAATATCATGATGGCTCTAAAACTATGTCCTAGAGCAATGGTGGAAACATGGAAATTGCCTTTTAGTTTTCTTCTCCATAACCTCTTACATTTAAGTAATTTTCACATCTGCTCCTGGCCCTCCTACCTGCCCCATGACCTCTTGTCTCAATTACTCTAGAATTCTCCACTCCCAGTGACTTTGTGGTTCTCAAATCCACCCTCCATGCTATTATCTGAAGAGTCTATGTAAAATGCAAATTGAAGCATACCTTTCCTTGCTTAAGAGCTTGTTGCTAACAGGATGAAGTCCTGGTCCCTCCAGTGTACCCAACAACATCACGGTTGAATGCTATTCATTTCCCCACTCTCCCTTCCGGCCACTTCCTCTCTCACACCTCATTCTGTTCTTGTTCCCAGACCTTTGCCTGCCCTGCCCTCTACACCTGGAACATTCTTTAAGCCTCCACTCACATCTCATCCTGCCTTTCCCAACTCCCACCCACCCTGTCTCCACAAGGATTAATACAGCCTGCATTTCTCTAAATATTCTAAACAGATTTCTGTCGTACCTGGAACATTTCCTTTATAACTATTTTAAGGTATTTCCTCCTCCACTAAACAGTATGCTCTCTTATATTCTATTGACATACAGAAAATATTGGATTAAGAAAAGTAATAAATATAGCCTAAGGTTTTTCAAAAACAAACAAACAAGACACAACCTATTCTAGATCAAATCTCATGCCTTTTATTACACAATGATTAGAAAGAAGTTATTCAATCGTCTTTAATCAAAAATATATAGACCAAATCTTGTCAAAATTAGACAAAAAGGGCCATTGCAATAATCCTACTTTGTTGAAACCAGGCTGTGTGTGGTTTTATTTGAGTTAGGTGACTCATCCTTTTGAAAGCTACTTTTGCTTTTCCACTCTATCTGCATAGGGTGTTTTTATGAAATTAAGAAGTTTCAAAGCGTTTTCAGATGTATGTGTTATTTTTCCTTATGAATCCCTGAAGACGGCTAAGAAGAAATCATAATCATTTCACACATGAAGAAAGGGAGCTAAAGGATTGTCATTTTTTCACACCAGTGACTAATGTGTGGCTATGCAACTCCTGATGCTTAAAGCAGCTTAAACCAGCAATTTGCTTTACCCATTACCTTGCCTAGCCTAGGGCTACCCTCCCTCCCTCTCTCCCTCTCTCCCTCCCTCCCTCTCTTCCTCTCTCCCTCCCTCCTTTCCAATCTTTATGTAATAATGTAATGCAAATTGATTTGTGTGTCAGATATACTCTAGACTTTTTACAAACTCAAGAAGATTAGAATCTTCCATGTCCTCGAACATGTATGCACCAGTATGTTCTGTCATTTGCACAGACACTCAGTCTGCCCCAGATGAATTTGCTCATAAGCCAGCAATACTTCAGCTAAAGTATATCAGAGCCACCCAACCTGCCACAGTAATTTCAAACTATAAAATATTTTAAACTGTGTCTTGTTCAACCACTAATTCGGTGTTTGAACATACCTTCAGAGTGGTCCAAGTAGAAGAGTCTCCAGTAATTACTTAACCATCTTGATTCACAAATCTCACAACTACTAAATATGATGCTAGCCAACTTCAAAACTCTGGGGAGACATTTCTCTATAAACTCATTTATCTGTCGCTTATTGGTGAAATTTTTCCTAGCTGTTAGTGCCACAAACTTCTCAGAGTCTATAATGCTATTAGTTGAGACTTTGGCAAATAGCTTAGTCCAGTTTGCTCTTCTATAAAATGGGTCAAATTAAATAATTAATGCAAATTGGCAAGCACTATAGTATCTTCAACAACTTCACAGAGTAAGTATTCAAAACTACACTAGCTAAACCAATAACTCTCCTTTATCCTTAGTATTTTGAGAGAGAGAGAGAGAGTGTGTGTGTGTGTGTTTGTGTGTGTGTGCATTTATGTGCATGTGTGTGTATTTCTGTGTGTATACACGCATGTGTGGGTGGAGACCAGAGACCACTATGAGATGTTTTCCTCCATCATTCTCTACATTGTTTTTTAAAGCAGGGTCTCTCACTGAACCTGAGTTCACTGACTCAGCTAGGAAGTTCAAAGGATCTTCCTGTCTCTGCTTCCCCATTGTTGAGATCACAGTCACATAGCTCCAGACCTGGCTTTTTATGTAGCCCTGACCTCCAAACTCAGGTCTCATGCTTACACAGCAAGTGCTTTGCCAAGTGAGCCATCTCCCCAGCCTCCACTGACACAGGTTTCAGTGGTAATTCCTTATAGCCAATCACCAGACTTTCAAGATAAAACACATTTAGTGTAGTAAAGAGATGATTTCTTGTCAGACACATAGTCCTCAAACAACCCACTTGACCTTCCTTCTGTCACTCATCCCCATAGGGACAGGCAAGGGTTGGTATACTTCTTCCTGGGTAGTAAGAGGCATTATTCCAAGTTCATCCAATCCTTGATCTTGTGCCCAAAATATAAATTGTAAATCTCACTGGAGGGAATCTTGACAAGGCAGAGGTGAAACAAGAGGTCACTTTGAAGAGCCGCTGTATAAGAGACAGAGGAGTGTCTGTTCCATCTGTGCGGAGTTTGGATACATTTTCACAAAGCAGCAGGAAATAAGACTCATTTGAATCCGCTTCAAATTCGAGATTTCTCTCTGTCCAAAGAGAAAACAGCATTACTATCCTCAGTCTTTGGCATGTTGACCTGATGACCCCATCTATACCTGATTGTGACTTTTCCATTTGCTTAAGTCTCAGGGGATTACAGCAAACGTGTGTACCAGGGCGTAAGAGTCAAGCACACCGTCAAAGACCTCCTGGCGGAAAAGCGATCCAGGCAGACAAGTAACTCCAGACTCAATGTAAGTCCTGATTCAATCCCCCTGAAGTCCAGCAGGTCTGAAGGCTCTGTTAAGTGCCCTCTCTCCTCTCTTCCCCTCCTTTATCTAACATCTCTCAGTCTCCTGCCTCCTGGCTCTGATTTTCCTCAAGAAAGAGCCCTTCCTTTACCTAGGACACACTTCAGAAATACTTTGACATAGTATTTCTATGAAATAGTAACTGGACTTGGTTGGTGGTATCACGGTTTGTGCTTGAACTCTTATTCTCTACACACTCTTCGTTGTCCTCCATTTTACAGTGTTGTTTGTTTTTGTTTCATTTTTGGAATACTATGTGTATTGCTATTCATCTGCTGTTAGTCACATGATCCTGGAAACAGAATATGTTGTGCCTTTGTATCATGCAAGTAACAGTCCATAAACACCAGCCCTCCTCCTTACTAAGGTACCAGATGCAATGGAAGGAACGTGAATAGAGGGGGCACTTTTGCCTGCCTGGGCCATCTGTGTATGAAATCCCTGGAAAGTCTCTGAGTCCAACAAGAAATGAGGCAACCAAAATGACCTGTAGGGTTCCTCATAATGTAAAAATGCCCGACTGTTCGTCACCTCAAGGCATATTTGTTTGCTACTGGCAATGTTTTCAGAGCAGTGAGATCTAGTTAGCTGACTGCTTCAGCTAGTGACAGTAGAAACAGAGTATGCCCAGACTTTTCCACATCTCCAAGTCACTGGTTGAGAAAGACTCAGGGCTTGAGGATACAATGCTGACCTTTCATATACATCATATTCTACACCTGAAGATGTGATTTATAATAAATCCTTCCTGAAAATCCCAGTAGGTGTTCCAAGTTTCATTCCTATCTGTCAATCACATTTGTACTTGTAGCTCTACTCTGTGCCTAATAAGTTGTACTCGGGTCTCAAAAAGTGACCAAAGAATGGCAACAGTGCTTAGCTAACACGAAAAGATAATTCCATGCATTCTACTAATATAATAGCCTGAATGCTGGGCACATGTAGATGATCAGGAATAAACAGAGTGACCACATCCAGTACTAGCACTGGGCATACAGGGGAAGTACTTCCTCCAGAACACCTTCAACGCTGCTCCGATAGCAGACTTCTATGACATAAGCGGCACTCAGGGTTTTGCTTATATAGAAAAATCTGCACAGCTGGGCTGTCTGATCCCCATTCAGGGTATCTGTCAGAAGCATCTGGAGGGTGTGTTAAAAATACTGTTACCAGACTGAGAGGGGACCAGAGAGTGGGCTGTGGTGTTTCTGAATCTATTCAAAATGAGCTGTTTCCATGAACAAATGATGGGGATTGCTCAGCCACAGATCCAAACAAGAGAACAACTGCATTTTGAAACCAAATAAAAAGTCCTATGAAAACATCAAATTAGGTAGACAAGAGACACGCATAAAGACACTACAGGCAAGGAATGGGCTTTGTATCTGCACAATGTGAATGAGAATAGAATTAATACCTTTTGGTATCTTCAATATCCACATACAAGAAATGAGCCACAGTAACAGACTTCTATAAAAAATATGTGCCATATAAAAAGACAACAAGTCAGGCTATATCCAAATGGTGAATACATGCATGTTTTTAAAAACAAAGAACTTCACGCCCAAAATCCATAAATATCAGGTCACAGATTTTGCCTTTTTATTTCTCTCTAGTTTTTCTTTCTTAAAAGATAAAATGAGCACAACCAGTAATTCATATTAAGTATCAACATTTAATCAAATATTAGAGACCATCATATGATCATATTCACCCCAATTCCTTCCCCTAACTCTTTCCAGATCCACCACCCACCTCCCAACTTTGCATCCTTTTCTCTCTATAGCCCATTGAGTCAGTCCAGTTTGTGCTGCCCATATATCCATGGGTGTGGGCCATTCACAAGAGCGTGGTCAACCTCTCAGGGCCACACTAATAAAGAAAACTGACTCCCCATCCCCAAGAAGTCATCAACTATCCATAACTCCTCTCTCAGATGTAGGACTTATGAACTCCTGAACCCCTGTCCCTTCCATGCTGGAATGTTAATTGGCTTCATCTTGTCCAGACCTGTACAGGCAAAAACAGTGGATGGGCATTGTGAGTAGGGAGATCCTGTCATGCCCAATGGCTACTGTTTTGCTCTGGTCCTCCTTTAGCTCTTACACCTTTCCAACCACTCTTCTGCAATGGTCCCTGAACCTTTGGAAGAGAGGAGTGACACAGATGTCCCATTTGTGTCTGAACACTCCACACACACTTATTCTCTGCACTCTGACTAGTTGTGAGTTTCTACGTTAACCACCATCCACTGCACAAAGAAACATCTCTGATGAGATCTGGAAGCTGTACTAAATGAAAACACATTATTAAATTTTGTCTTCAAATGGGCTTGTCCCATTTATGGGGATGAGGTCCGGGAGTGAGCATTTTGACACTTTCTACAGTCTCCTTGAAAAATTCTTTTGTACATAGCTGTTACAACAAAGAATAAGCACCCTCGCTTCACACAGCACAGTGGCTTCCTATCTCTTACCTAGCTAAGCCATTGCTGTTGGCCTAGAAATGAGAAGCTGATGACCAGATATGTGCAGCACACAGACAGTCTGCTAAAAACCAAATAATCTGGTAAGAATAAAAGTACCTACACATAAAAAGTATACATTCATATAGCCAAACACTAAACTGAATGCTTATGAGCAGACAGTATAGACATGCAATGTGAAAACAGCTATAAGATTTATGTGAGGATAGATTGAGGTGTATTTTCTGTGTATTATCTCATTTCATGGACACATCATCCTCTGAGATTTGCATTTGCAGTTCCCCATTTTATAGATGAATATGTTGGAAACAAGGTAAAGAAAGGAGTTGGTGCCCTGGAGACGAGGCTCGGAGGATCTGAGTTCCGTTCCCAGCGTCTGAGTCAGGTGGCTCACAACCACCTGTAACTCCAGCTCCAAGGGACCTTTCACCTTCCTTTGGACACCCTTGCACAGACACAAATACACAATCTCAATCTTTTAAAAAAAAGTATACAGTTTGCAAATAATGTACTCATTAAGTCTTAATTCCATATTTAAAAAGGAAGCTCAGGCTAAAGCAGAATAACCTTTGACGCATGAAAATAAGGTGAGAGTGAATATGAGAGAGAATAAACCACAGAGAGAAAAATACTAGTAACAGAAAAGTTAAGTCACCTCCAGCCACGGTATTGACGAGGGCATTTTAGGTGGCACAAATTACCTTAACTCTGTGTTCTCATTGTACCTTCCCAGTCATCTTTCTCATTTTGGGGATGTTTAAGCTTCAGCGGTTAAGTACGTAACTCAGATATGAGCTCATTTGGACCTTACACACCTCTGAATTGACCTTACTGTCTGCTTACAATTTAAGAATACTATCTAGAATGGTATTACCATCAGTCACCACCCACTCTAACGCCTATTTCTATCCCTGCTGTAAATGTAACTCAGTGAGCAAAGCTTGTGGAGTACCCTGCTGCCAGCAGACCTTTGCTCACGGGGCTCTGCTCTCATGAGCAGTGCCAAGACCATGCTCTTTTCCTCATATTGATACATAAGGACGCAGTGAGTCTTCAGTCTCAGATGGGTTCATAATGAGGAAGCTACTCATGGGCATATTTAAAATTCTCAGCTGATAGCACGGCTAAGGACCAATGACTAATGGCCCCAACCAAAAGCTGAACTCCCAAAGATCCTATGTCAATCCTCTGGGACCTGTGGGCAACATACATGATTAAATATCTTGAGAGTAGTTTACCCAGTGGAGCGGGCACTTAATGCAATCAGGTGTGTCTTTGTAAGGGCAGTATTGAAAGACAAACCCAGAGAAAGTACAAGAGGAAAAGGTAAATGATCCCTTTGTTGGAGACAACAAATCAAGGAATTCCGGCATCTGCAAAAGCTGGAAGAGGCAGGAGATAGGTCCCCTGATGAGCACCCTAGCAGGGACAACTTTACTAAGGGCCGGGTTTAGGATGTCTGGCCTTTGGAACCCTAAGAGTGCATTCAGAAGCTCACTATGGTAGGTTATAGTTGTCTTAGGAAACCAATGCATTGGTTATGAATAATTAGGTCCCCTCAACCAATAAGCTTCCAGAAGTAGTTATTAGGTGCCCATGTCACCATACTGGCTCCTTGTGAGCACTCTCTGAGTAAGGTGACACCACTGTGGTTTTCTACCTTTACCAAAACATTTCCTCAAGAACAACTTTCATGATTTTTGCAGTAAAGCTTTGTAATATATCATAAAAACAAAAATCTTGTATCAAGCAAGATTTTCACAAAATCACCTCTATTTATTTAACCTGCCATACTATGGCTTGACAACTGCTGTGTCTACATAGTTTTAAGTTGTGAATTTTCTTTTATATATTTTTCTCAAGTATTTTTTTCTGTCATTCCTCACTGTTTCACTGGATTTCTGCTAGGATAAATAGACACCACTCATCAACACCTGATAGCAAAAATATATAATTAGATTTCTGACCAATGACATTTTTGGTGACTATACTACAATTGAATTCATAAGAACTAATCGTTTAATCATTTAACTTTTTAAGGATAGCATCACAAAATTCAATAAGCTCTTATCTGTAGAACAAAAAGAAGAATCAATGAGCCTAACCGCCACCATTTTTCTGTTCCATTTTGAAATCAGCCAGCGATTCACTGACTATTTAGCTCACTAATGAAGTTTTTCTTGAGCAATCATAAAGATTCATCTAGAATCACTAAATATACAGCAGCTGGCAAGAGGGGAGAATGAAAAGCTGCTCAGAATTTCAATTGTGTGGGAGGGTAGGGGAGTACCTTGTCATCTGTGGGGGAGTAAGAAGGGCCTGGCACCATGGTCTGGGACTTAGTCCCACCCACACGCTGGTGGAGATGGTGATGGCTTTCATTCTGAGAACGCCCACAGAAACACTGCAGTCAGTGACAATAGCCAAGCAGATGTGAAGGTTTGAGTTAATATTTTAC